CATGTAGGAAGACTATCTTGAGGCTCCGTGTGATAAGAGGCCTCACGAAATTTAGGTTCAACATTTAGGACACGAATAGTTTGCAACAGTCTCTACCCACGTGGGAATAAACGCCCACTAACGTTTTTTCGAAGGCACAGTTCACGATCATCTTTTAGGGAAGAATAGCGGAAGCATTGGTTGGGATTCGCGCATCGATGGTGAAGTGCTAGAATATATGCCGATTCTGCGAAAAATAAGGTAAATTTTGCGAACAATAAGGCGAAAATAATTTTTGAAAGTAGTGAAATAAAGGTTGTACGAGTTACTATGACGGAAATGACCTGGAAGGAGTATTGGGTTGAGATCTCAGTTGTTGGAACTGCAACAAGAGGTAACTCCATCAAGCCAAAACTGTTCGAAATTGCCTTTTACTGCCGCTATACGTCATGATAACGTGTTTGAACTTACTATATGGGTTCTACTGTGAGTGGTGCATTCTCCGTTGAAACTCATCCTTTATGGGTGTGGCATTCACGCGATTTAATCCCTAATTCCTTATTATGCTACATCCAAGACCCTTAGAACGACAAGTATGGTATAAAGGGGAGCCTCGAATTTATACTGTTGGGAAATCTCAGAAACCAATTTAATCGTGAACTGTGCCTTCGAGTTCACCTTGCTGCAAAAATCCTGGTCAACGTCACGAAAGCTCCAAAAAATCTAATCACATGTCATAGTCATCTCAAGAATAGTATACTCATGAAGTGAAGAGATCAAACTCACATTCCGAATTGTTAACGTTTTTGGGAGGCGATAGACGTTCACGTCTTCATTGCAGTCCTTTTCCACATCGCGTTTCTCAATAAACTCGGCAACAACGACCGTTGGATAGATACGTGGTCTCTTTCGGCGGTACCACCACTGCAGTACGGAATAGCGCATGATGAAATAATTGTTTGTATATGTGGAGAAAAGCAGACAAAATTCCAACACAAGTAATAGTCATTTCGATTCCAACACAAGTAATAGTAATTTCGAAGCACTGACACCATCACTACTGCATTTCACAGAGGGTGAAGCTTTCGTCGGAGATTTAGGACAATTCTTTGGTGACGCCATTATTTCTCCGATATCGTCGCCGGTTCCTATAATAAGTTTCAATAAGAAAGAATCAGAACAAAGAAAAACCTTTTTGGTCTGTCTCAGGAAAATAACCAGCTACTGACCAACGAAATGAAATCTTTTCGGAGAGTCATCAACCGTGGTTCTTTGCGTCGTATCTTCAGATAGAGTGTTAAGCTGATCCTCTTTTCTTATCTCCTCTTTATCCACCTCAGAAGACTTGGTTGCAAAGACATTCCTTGAACTCCGGCGCATGTTCTTCTCTGTAATTTCATGATGAATCGTACCATTCGTTGAAAGACACATTAGTTCAATTATACGGCCTAGACCACTTGAAAGAATATCATCGTCACAGTAGTCACAGAATGATAGTGGAGCGACAATTTCCAACCACTGAAAAGTGTTAGCCCCATAGCTTACAACACGACAGAAAGGCTCTCAGAGTCAGTTGTACGATCAGTGTCGAAATCGTTCGATTAACAGGAAATGTTTTCATTTTCACGTTTTCCATTCATCGAAGAGAACTTTCTTGTACGCAAGGATGAAAAATGCCTAAATAAAAGGACAAGCTTGCTCCATCCCACATGATTGGGGGTTTCGACAGTCATCGACTTCAAGGCAGTGACGAATCGGCAGGACGACCCTCTGTAAAGTTGTGGGTATAGTAGTCCACATATAGTTTAACTCTAACTACGCTGAAGTTTGAAATATTTGATTGGGATGAACCACAAGTATACTCATCTTCCAGGCTTTAACGAAGACGAGAAGACTAAAATATGTATCAGGTTGATGCTTAATTATTGCGGATTTTTTCGCGGCTTCTTTTCTCTCGATAGGATTAAACTTTTTATTTCGGGATTTTTGTAGAAATAATCATCTCGCTTTCCTTAACAGAAATCTGTCCAGAAAGTCATCTTCATATACGCCAAACTATGCTCTATTACTTCGAGGAATGTTGGAAGGCGACCCACTCATAACGTAATCTCAATGAACTTGTCGGTGATATAACAGTCAGCCAAAGCCGAACAAGGAATGGAATCTGCTCCTGCGGTCGCCTTATTCACCAACAAATACTCCTATAGGTTATCACGTCAATCGCCCTTTGAAAAATTGGTTAACGAACACAACTTTCGACGAAGTGAGTGGCTTGAAGGCCAACGTCAAGACGTGTCGCTTCCGAGAATCGAGACTTCTTCGTCTAAGAATCTGACCGCCTACCAAATGGGAAGTAGTGCTTGAGGTGTGGGTATATTCTGGAAAGATTATTTGAACAAGCATTCGCTAAATATTTCTATCGTTTCTTCAGGTAGAATTTGCTGAAAAAAAATCCGCAATAATTGTGCATCAACGTAATATTAACCGAACGAAGCTCCATCATCATCATCATCATGGCTAGACAATTTCGCTGAAGCGTCGATTATATGCTGAGCAGTTGATAATAGACTGCACTTCTTATTATTATATATTTCATAAATGTTGCGTCCGAGGTAGCAGGTAGCAGATGGAATATTTACTAGAGAGTAAACTGAATATAACTATAATCGAGGGGTTTATATACCCCAATGAGATCACTATTCAGGCGGGAACGTGATCGTAGTCTCAACAGAACCAATGTCCTATGACCCCTAC